GATGTATGTAGACATATTTTAAAGTGTAGATTCATTCATTTTGTGCCGTATGTAGTCACTTGTTGAAATCTCTAGAAAGACAAGTATTTAGGAACGGAGGGAGTAGCACATAAAAAGTAATATTTCGTAACCAGGGCCATCAAGCATATCATTACCAACTCAGAAGCTGATAGCAGAGTTGTACAGAAGAATATCATGGAGCAAATTGAATAAAGACGTACTACAAAATATAGGGTGGAAAAGATCATACCATGGACATATGCATGCAGCCAGTCGTTCTTCAGTTGACTGAGTCAGCAACCCATCATGGCGCATGTTGACTGAATCCAGCCCTCCCTGTATGGCCGTGTTGCAAACAAACTCCACACAGGTGGTTGCCCATCCGGGGTCCATGAATGAAGCTCAACCACGTTTTCATCAGTAGAATTGTTTGGAGGCCCAATAACAATCAGCCGGTCACCACACGCTCGGAAACCCATGTCCTTGCCCTCTTTCTTAGACTGTACAGGCAATTTTCCAAGAGTTATCCACTTGCTGTCCATCTTATCATACTGCCTCAAATCATTATTCTCACTATAATCAGGGCCATAAAGCTCATTCTTCACAACTGCAATGAGCGGAAGAGCTCCCCAAAATGTCTGGTTGAGCCCCTGAGACATGTTGTGGATGACCCTCCATGACCGCCGGTTCAAGTCATACTCCTCACCGCATGTCAATACCTCGTTGCTACTGGTAAGACCACCGATCACATAGAACTTGCCATCCATGAACGCTCCAGAGCATCTGAACCTAGCCCTATTCAAGCTGGGAAGGGGTGTCCAGGTATGTGTCTCCGAGTCATACATCTCTGCGGAGCTCAATATTTTAATAGAAGAATCAACGCCTCCCGCAACATACGCCTTTTCACCAACACTCGCTGACCCAAACGCGATCCGTGGGGTGTTCATCGCATCAGCCAGCCATGTCCATGAATTGGTAAGGATGTTATATCTCAAGGCAACCCTTCCTCTGTCCCCAAACACCAGCAGCTCTGTTCCTACAGCAAGCGACTCCCAGATGAATATGCTTTCAGCCGGTGGCATCTTGGGAAGTTGGATCCAGCGCCCAGTGGACGGGTCATAAGCCTCCCACTCCAGAGGATTATTACTGCAAGCTGAGAGGTAGATCCAGTGCTCTGCGATCCCGTTCATGCGACGCAGGCGGTAGATGTCCCCGTTGCGAACCACTGAATTGAAATCATGGTTGAGGGATGCGATGGCGCCATATTCCCACCTGGAGAGGCGGTGAAGGCAATAGATGAAGAGGTCACGACCTATCACACCAATGGTATTGCTCCACGAGACCAGATCATGCTGCTCTCCACCATCTGCACATGACAAAAATCAACAGTTCATCGATCGTTTTGCTAATTTCTACGAGTAATTTATCACCTGATGACGAAACGTCTCTATTACAACTCCAGTTGACTGAAAAGCATACCTGGGGGATGCAGAAGCGAAGACGACTCCGGTGACCTCGATGATATCCTGATTACAACAACCATTTAGAGTGAATAACTGAAGAGTTACAACAGAAACAACAATCATTTAGCATGAAGTGAATAACTATTGCCCGGATGATTGCTAACTACACCGATCCTCGATACATACTCTAGATCAGCAGCTGCACCCACAAATTTTGCGGAGACCTCTGTAAGGCCTGTTATATGCTCGATGCTGATTAATGCAGTACCATGTCGATATTGTTTCCACTGCTCAGACTCCGAAAAAAGTTCAAGTCGTTGGTCCATTTGGGGGATGGCGTCAAAAACAAGCCTGAGCTTCCGGAGATTAGGCATTGCGTCCATCTCAAATCTTAGCCAAGCTATTTCACTCAGGAACCTCAGCTTCAAGTACTTGAGAGTTGTGAATCCAGCAGTCGTGCCAAAGATTATCTTAATATCAGGCGACTTCTCCACACACAACGACAGAGCAGTGAGGCAACGCAACCCTCTAAGAATACGAACATCATTTACTGACGTCCATCCATTGCAATCTTCAGAATGCATAGGTTGCCAAGTTGTTTCATCCACACATCCAGATGGCAAAATACGACGGGTTTGTGTGGTGAGAGCTCAAATCGCCGGAGATGGTGGGGAGGTTTGACGAAATACCAGCCAACTCTGGCTTTTGAAGCGTCACCACACCCAACCAAGGATCTGTGAGCCACCACTTGTATAGTTTTCAGGCTGCCATGTTCAGATATTAAAGAATCCAGAGCTTCCATGCTTCTCTCCAGATGGTAGTAATCGGAAGAAGGCGGCGTAGAAATATAAATATCATGCAGGTGGCTCAACATGCCAAGGCTCCCAGGTGGATTGACGGACCAATCCAGCAGATTTGAGTGAGCTGGAAGACTGAGGTGCAACAAGTGTGGGAGATATATAATATCCCATGGAACATGAGTGCCTCTTGTTGTATCCTTGACATCCAGTGTTTCCATACATTGAAGCCCTCTCATATGGCTTGGCAGTTTTATGCAGACATCACAAGCAATCTTCAAATATGTCAAATGGAACAATTCTGATATCCCAGTGAGGTCGATGGCCTGGTCTTGGTCACCATGATGATGGCCAGACAATTGAAGGTTTAGAACACGAATAAGCTTGAAATCTCCAATACAAGGCATACACTCCGATGCTCCAAAAATTCCAAGTGACCGTACTTGTGACTTTCTGATGTTTGCTGGTGTCTTGGCATTTTTTGCATCACCAAGTTGGAGAGACAGTCGATGGACCATATGAGAAAGTGCCAAATTCTTTTGATTGTAATCTACTACCACGACGAAATTCTCTTCTGCAGACTTGTGTGCAATAAGATCATGTACCACGTCATGCACTGTGCAGGACACCACCTCATTGTTGAAGTTCATATACATGGACTGGATGAATCTTCTATCAACAAGCTCATCGAAATACATCCCTGCAACTTCCTTTGTGTCTTGCCCTTCACTTGTAGAAATAAACCTTTCAGCCACCCATTGCTTCACCAGGTCATGTTTGAAGATTATGGAGCCCTCCGGATACATACCAAGTTGCAGCAAGCATGTCTTGAGGTAATGAGGAAGGCTGTTGTAGCTGAGGTGCAGTACTTGTCTCGTTCTTTCTGAAGTTGAATTTGATAACAAACAAGACACTAACGAATCATGTATGTGTTTCAATAAATCCACTGATACAGAAGGCTGGTTTGCTAAAAGACTTCATATACTGATGGTGGCTAGCGGCAAACCACCACATGTTTCTACAATTTGGCTTGAAACTTGTTTTAACTCTTCAGGACAGTCACTTTCAGAACCAAAAAGCCTGCCAAAGAATAGCTTCCTGGAGTGATCATCATCCAAAGGTTTCATCTCAAAAACTTGTTCTGGGTCATCGCAGCAACATGCCAATGCAATATCTTCAATCTGCGTAGTTGTTATTATTCTGCTTCCTTGACTACACTTGGGAAAAAGCTGATTAATAACATCCCATGCTGATGTATCCCACAAATCATCAACAATAATCAGATACCTGCATGTCAAGAATGCATGGATGTCACATTTATCTGTCATGCAAACGGCAAAAACACGCTAGAAAAGAGGTTATTGTAGGATACGCTAGAAAAGAATTTAGTTTTAGCCCATACATGTCCAGGACTTATAATATTAACCTGAAGTTAAATGTTGGTGCTGACTTGAAGTGTAAAACTAATGTCCGTTGACTCGACACGCATGTACTGAAGCTTTTCTAGCTCACTGTAAACCTTGTCTGAAAAACATCTTTTCAGAAATTGACTAATATCATCATGCCTTTTTTTGTGAAAAACAAAAGAGCAACATGTACATGCGGTTCTGGATGATGTGGAAAATAAGTACATACTATTTGACTGTGGAAAATAAGTACCTTTGCCATGTAGATAATTCCTGATATTTTCAGCAGTAATGCGTAGTTCATCAGAAACGGCTTGGCTTGCTTGGGGCTGCTTCCGCTGGATTTGTGACAGGATGTCACAGAAAAGCCTCTTCATATTAGGCTTTTTGGACACCCGGATGAAAGCCCGGCAATGAAATTGTCTCCCAATTTTATTGTACAACACTCTGGCAACCATTGTTTTACCAAGACATCCAAATCCATGAATAGACACCACCTTAAGCTGCTGATCCGCGTCGTTAGCCATCGAGTTAATAAACTTGCTCATCCGACCATCAATTACTAGGCCGAAACAAGTTTTCTCACAAGGCAGTGGCGGCATTGGCACTATAGGCCCAATGGCTGATAATCTACGTGCCGCCAAGGTGCTACAACAATGGACCTGGTATCTCTCGTACCGTCGGATCGCCTGAATTCTGATACCTTTTCAACCATCTGTTGGTACCACTTGAGCTTCCTAGGAGCACGAATGACATCAACACGAGTGTTCTTGGAGATAACATGTCCTAACGCATCTGGAGCTGCATATTCAATTTGTTTCTGCCACTTGAGCCTCTTGGGAATTTTAACATGAGTCATGTTGTGGTCAAATTTGTAGCCAAAAGACTGATCAGGGGGCACAAAGTTGTCAATACAATCTAGGATATCATAAGATAACTCATGTGCCTCTTTCATCCAGCACTTGGTCGCCAGCGGAGGGTCCTCCACCTCTAACAGATCTTCAAGGTATGTGGCTATTTCTTCAAGATCATCTTTGAGGAGCTGCGACCTATCATTGACCCCCTTGGTCAGCTTGCATCCATGAGGACCTAGCATCATGTCAAGCTTCTTAAGAAGGGGTCTCATGGCGCCTAGAGAAACACTGAAACTCGTATCCATGTCTCTGCCTCTACCTCCCACTGAAACATCTGAAAAGAAACATAGACAAGAAAGAACGATTTAGTTTACACAAGCAGATGTTGCATGTAATACAAACTAATAGAAGAAATCAGCTCCACGAGTTATGTTGCATGTAATACAAACATAGACAAGAAAAGGAAACGGCTAAAAAAGGCTAAAAAAGGACTGCTCCACCTCTAACAGATTTAGTTCAATCTCGAGGTTTTTCATTTCTTTTTGTAGTAGAGGGATAGGAAGGAGAGAAGCGAAGCGTCACCTTGGGTTGGATAAAAATAGACAACCCTCTCCTCCTCCTCCTCAACAATGCCGTGATCCAGCATCTTGTTGCGGGACTCGCTGCACTTTGGGCACGGCTCGGAGCCGACCCTCTTACAGGCTTGGCAGACGAAGGCCGGACTCGGCCTTGGGGCGGCGTCCAGGAGTTGCCGCAGCCCGCCGGCCTGGTGCAGCTTCCTAACATCCTCAGGGCCGCCAACGAGCCGGCCGCCCACGAGGAGCTGCGGGAGGGAGAAGGCGCAGCCCCGAGCCGCAAGCAACGACTTGAGCTCACAGCGGTGCGCTTTGCTCCTGGACACGTCGCGCACGTCCACGGCCAGGCCGTAGCTGCGCAGCAGGGCGCACAAGGCGTAGAGGTCGGCGGAGGTGCGCGTTCTGTGGCGCGACGCTGAAGCTGACGCCGTGTAGAGAACCACCTCCGGCTGCAGCTCCTGCTTGCCGTGTGGCCGGGACAAGGAGCTGCCGCCAGGATCACCCATGTCCGGCGGCCTCATCCGACGGGACAGGGACAAGTGATGCCTCCTCATGTCATGTGGGTCCACTTTGCATTGACTCCAAACATACACTTTTACCGTCGTATGGACGGACTCATAAGTTTTCACACCACACTAAACAGCAGTTTCACAAATTATCGTGTTCCACAGCAACCTGCCGGCCACTAGCGAAGGCTCGGGACATCTCCGATGGCACCCCTAAATTCTTTTCCGCATCTTCATTTGAGGATGAAGGGACCAGTCCGCGGACATGAATGCAGAAGACAGTCATTCAACTATAGCCGCATATGTTTTAATCCGCATTTTAACCAATCGGACATATTTCATGTGAACACGATGAATTTCATTAAAATTCGGAGATAATTTATATAAAATGGTTCATATTTCAATTGTTTAACTAAAAAACTAAACCCTATACCGGACGACCACCTCGTACGCGTGGCCGCCCTGCCATGCCGCATCACCTTGTCTTTCGTGCTGTCATCCCTCCCTTGTCGGTACGTCGCCGGAGGTCCGCGTCATCCTTGTCTGGCGGCTGCCTGCCGCTTACGGAGGAGCCTCTACGCCTCCTGCTGCACTGTGCAAAGTGCCGCCGCAGCCATTCCCAACGTGGCCTTCGAAGCCCGCCTACTTAAAACAGATGGTAAATCAAGTGCGGCGTTAGATGGCAGTTCCTTACATCTCCTCGTCTTAAAGCATACGATCTTGGTTCTAGTATACTTCAGATTCTTCACAGGGTAAAATGTCAAGAAAACTCAATAAATTGAGCTATGCTCGTCGGGAACAGCGTCGGAAAAAGGTCTTGATAACCTACAAGTATAGGGGATCGCGACAGTCTTCGAGGGTAGTATTTCACCCAAATTTATTGATTCAACACAAGAAGAGGCAAAAAATATTTATGAGTCTTAGCAATTGAGTTGTCAATTCAACAACACATGGAAAATTATATTTCTGTAACAAAGTGTTTAGGGGTACAATAGTTTGATAGTTTTGATAATAATAATAACAGTAGCAACAGTAACAAGACAGTAACAGTAGCAGCAGTAGTAACATAGCAAATATCAATTTAAGAAAACCATAGGCATTGGATCAGCGATGGATATTTGTGTTGGACGTCATTCGTCATATAACAGTCACACCCTAGAGCAATACACAATAGCTCTAATTCATCAGTGTAATGTAGGGATGTATTGCGTATATAGTCATACATACTTACTCTAGTAGAAAACAGGGCTTTGGTCCAGGCCGGGCCAGCCCATTAGTCCCGGTTCAGTCACAAAACCGGGACCCATAGGGGCAACGGTCCCGGTTCGTCTGGCCAGGGGGCCGGCCGGGCCTCGTGGGACATTGGTCCCGGTTCGTCTGGACCCTTTGGTCCCGTTTTCAGATACGAACCGGGACCAATGTGCCTCGCTCCTGGCCCACAACCATTAGTCCCGGTTCGTGGCTCAAATCGGGACCAAAGGGGTTCCTTTAGTCCCAGTTCTAGCCACGAACCGGGACCAATGAGATGCCTATATATACCCCCTCGCCAGCGTGCAGAGCACTCCATTGTCCTGTTTTTCTGGCCGGCGAGGGGAGAGCTTTGTGGTGCTCTAGCTCACCTCCTATGCACATGAGGTGTTCGATGAATCCCCGAGCCATACTTAAGCTTTCTCCTCTCGAAGCTCCTTGTGCAAGCTCCATTTTCGTCGAGATTTGTCTAGGTTTGGCGGTCTGTCCTGTCCCGTCCCCGTCCTCACCGCCGCCGATCGCCCGCGCCGATCTTGTCGCTGGCACCACCGTTATTTCCTTCATGTGGTGAGTGGATAATTAATCCCACTAATAAACTATTCATATTCGGATCTCTCCCTATATACATATTGCACTCCTCAATTGGATGCTATTTTTTTGTTGGTAAAATATATATGCCAGGCGCAGAAACATGTGGCTTCTCAATCAATGATTTGGAAGTTTCAACTATTTCTCATGTATACATATTATGATTATTATTATTATTATTTTAGAATGGACGGGGGCGACAACGCGTGTCTTTATGGTCTAGTAAACTAGATAATGTATGCAGCCCTTTGGCTTCAATACTTCCACGCAGCACCGCGTCACACGGAAGTGCCAGCTTCATGCGGCCCTGCATGATCTCTTTCACTAACACCACCGGCTCGTATGCATCACACCCACGCACTACTACATGCAGAAACCAAAAACGAAAGTGCAAATGCAAAATATCAAGAGTAACTCTTAACAGTGGGGACATGATCTACACACACACTGACGTACACACGGGATCGCTTTGAAAGGAGAGTAACTGCTGGGGTCCATTTCAGAGGGTAAAGTGAGCGGCTGCTGCCGTTCCAGGGGCACTATTTGTCTAGGAGGACCCGGACGCTGGCCAGGCTAGTCGCCGGGGAACATGTGCACCTGTGGGTGTGTAGTCTGGACGCTGCTCACCAACAGGCGCTCCGACGACAAGTCAGACATCGGCGACGCGCTGCCGACCTGAATCCCATGACGATCAATTATCCACTCGCCCGCGCCGATGATCATCATCATTAGAGCATTGTTCCAGTGAGAAAAGGATGGTGGAGACTATGATTCCCCCCACAAGTCGGGATGAGACTCCGGACGAAAAAAATAAAAAATAAAATAAAAAAAACGAGGCAAAAAAAAAGAGGGCCAAAAACAAACAAACAAAAACAAAAAATGAGAGAAAAAGAGAGAAGGGGCAATGCTACTATCCTTTTTCCACACTTGTGACTCAAAGTAGCACCATGATCTTCATGATAAAGAGTCTCCTATGTTGTCACTTTCATATACTAGTGAGAATTTTTCATTATAGAACTTGGCTTGTATATTCCAATGATGGGTTTCCTCAAATTGCCCTAGGTTTTCATGAGCAAGCGAGTTGGATGTACACCCGCTTAGTTTATTTTGTTAAGCTTTCATACACTTATAGCTTTAGTGCATCCGTTGCATGTCAATTCCTACTCACTCACATTGATATCTATTGATGAACAGCTCCATAGCGCGTTGATATGCCTAGTTGATGTGAGACTATCTTCTCCTTTTTGTCTTCTTCACAACCACCATTCTATTCCACCTATAGTGCTATGACCATGGCTCGCGCTCATGTATTGCGTGAAGATTGAAAAAGTTTGAGAACATCAAAAATATTAAACAATTGCTTGGCTTGTCATCGGGGTTGTGCATGATTTAAATATTTTATGCGATGAAGATAGAGCATAGCCAGACTATATGATTTTCTAGGGATATCTTTCTTTGGCCATGTTATTTTGAAAAGACATGATTGCTTGGCTAGTATGCCTGAAGTATTACTATTTTTATGTCAAAATTGAATTTTTATCTTTAATCTTATGGATCTGAACATTCATGCCACAATAAAGAAAATTACATTCAGAATTTTCTTAGGTAGCAATCCACATCAAAAATTCTGTTTTTATCATTTACCTACTCGAGGACGAGCAGGAATTAAGGTTGGGGATGCTTGATACGTTTCCAACGTATCTATAGTTTTTGATTGTTCCATGCTATTATATTATACATCTAGGATGTTTTATATGCATTTATATGCTATTTTATATGATTTTTCGGATTGACCTATTAACCTAGAGCCTAGTGCCAGTTTCTGTTGTTTCCTTGTTTTTGAGTATTGTAGAAAAGGAAAACCAAACGGAGTTCAATTGACCTGAAATTTCACGAAAATCATTTTTGGACCAGAAGAAGCCCACGGAGCATAAGAGATGGACCAGAAGAGTCCCGAGGCACTCATGAGGGTCGGGGGCGCGCCCCCTACCTCGTGGCCGCCTCGAAGACCCCCCCCCTGACTTGTTCCTGGCGCCAAAACCTCTTATATATACAGAAACCCCCAGAACATAATCTAAATCGGGAGTTCCGCCGCCGCAAGCCTATGTAGCCACCAAAAATCAATCTGGACCCGTTCCGGCACCCTACCAGAGGGGGGAATCCCTCTCCGGTGGCCATCTTCATCATCCCGGCGCTCTCCATGGCGAGGAGGGAGTAGTTCACCCTCGGGGCTGAGGGTATGTATCAGTAGTTATGTGTTTGATCTCTCTCTCTCTCGTGTTCTTGAGGTGGTACGACCTTGATGTATCGCGAGCTTTGCTATTATAGTTGGATCTTATGATGTTTCTCCATCTCTACTCTATTGTAATGGATTGAGTTTTTCCTTTGAAGTTATCTTATCGGATTGAGTCTTTAAGGATTTGAGAACACTTTATGTATGTCTTGCATGTGCTTATCTGTGGGGACAATGGGATATTCACTTGATCTACTTGATGTATGTTTTGGTGATCAACTTGCGGGTTCCGTGACCTCGTGAACTTATGCATAGGGGTTGGCACACATTTTCATCTTGACTCCCCGGTAGAAACTTTGGGGCACTTTTTGAAGTTCTTTGTGTTGGTTGAATAGATGAATCTGAGATTGTGTGATACATATCGTATAATCATACCCACGGATACTTGAGGTGACATTGGAGTATCTAGGTGACATTAGGGTTTTGGTTGATTTGTGTCTTAAGGTGTTATTCTAGTACGAACTCTATGATAGATCGAAGGGAAAGAATAGCTTCGTGTTATTTTACTACGGACTCTTGAATATATCGATCAGAAAGATTAACTTTGAGGTGGTTTCGTACCCTACCATAATCTCTTCGTTTTTTCTCCGCTATTAGTCACTTTGGAGTGACTCTTTGTTCACTAGTAGAAAAAGGGACATTTGTCCCGGTTCGTAAGGGCCTTCTGTCCCGGTTTATGAACCGGGACTAAAAGGTCGGTACTAATGCTCTTGGCCTTAAGTCCCGGTTCTTACACGAACCGGGACAGATGGGCCTCCATGTGGCCGCTGCGTCCAGCCCAGGCAGGGGGGGCCTTTGGTCCCGGTTGGTGACATAAACCGGGACCAAATGGCATCCACGCGTCAGCAGCTGGCTGGAGTTGAGGTTTTTTTGCAAGGGGCTGGTT